ACCCCAAACGGGACAATGATGGCTGGGGATGGGGTGGCGGGTAGTGAGGAGCCTGGCGGGCAGGGAGAGAGGAGTCAAGGCCTTCAGCTGCTGCCGCGTGGGCATCCCTGGGAGGGTGACAGTAGAAGGTGGAAGGAGAGGGCAGAGTGCAGCAAGGGTGGCTTTGGGGGGGAAAGGGCCCAGGTGGGGAATGTGGCTGGGATGAAGAAACAGAGCCCTGACTGAGATGGGGGCTGGGGGGGGGGAGTCACTTTACCTACTCCCTCTCTGTCTGAAATTCCAGTTGGTCCCTGCCAATAATGTGGGCCCTGCTCGACCCCCTGTGGAAGCTGCCCTTGCCCCTCCAGGTGGGCATTGAGGGCCTCAGGCAGAAGACAGAGGCCGAGCAGAAACGGGGCTCCTGCTGGGCTGAGGGCAAGGGAGCCAGAAGGAGGTTGGGCCCCCCTCCCCCACCCAGTCCTCCCTAGTGGGCACGTTCATGTTCCCGTCCTGGCGCTCGTGTCTCCGGCTCCAGACACATGTGACTCAGCCCCGCCGGCCTTGCCAAGCTGTCTAGACCCAAGTGTCTCCCTGCGGAGGGGGCCATCCTGCCTGCCATTTCCTTTCCCGCCGCCTGGGGGAGGCTGAGCACCTCCCCCCCAAACACGTTCTACTCTTCCACTCCTAACTGCACCTCGAGTGGCTGCCTGGACTGCTGCAAATGTGGAGGGAGAAGGCACAAGTTGGGAACCCAAAAGTCCATAGTGACCCAGCCAGCCTCCCCCTCACACCCAGCCCAGCCATGTGTGGGGCGTGGAGCAAGAGGACAAGTAAAGACCCCAGCCCTGGCCTCTCCCGTCATCCGAGTGGGTTCCACCCCTGGCTCCATTGGGGCCAGGAGCTCACGTGTGGGTACACCTGGTGCACCAGCCTGGCTCTGTCCATACCCCCACATAACTTCGGACCTCAAGCAAGACTCACCCTTGGAGGGGAGAGGCCCTAGAGGTGGGCTGTGATCTGATTGAGGTCCTGGGCAGGAGAAATGTATTCTCGTAGGAGCATGTGTCCAGGGAATGGGTAGCATCTAGGAAGTGGGGGTGGGACTCTAAAGCCGGAAGCCCCAGGAAGGGCCAGGTCTGACAGTGTGTGGGGGCAGCACTGCCTAGGTGTCCCACATGGGCAGGGAATCACCTGCCCCTCTCAATGGCTGGCTCTCCAGCTGTCCTTGCCTGGGGTTGCCATAGTTCCCACCCAGCATAGGGACCAGAAGTGATAGGAAGAAGAGGCCAAGGTCCCAGCACAGCATCTCCATCCTCATGTGCCAATGGACTCCCAGTGTGGACACAGGCCTAGAATGACAGTGCTCTAGAACTGGCAGCCGTCAGCAGGCTCCTAGGTTGACAGTGTCATTCATTGAGCGCTACAACCAGGAACCACCAGACTCCCCCGAGCCTATACTCGTGGCAAGCCACATCTGTCAGACCCACTGTGCCATATCTGGAATCTTCCAGACTTACGCTATCCCAATACCTTGTACTTGGTCAGGCCAGTCCCCAGGGAACTTGGGGTAGGTAAATGACAGCCACCTGCGGGCAAGTCAGTGTCATTCTTGCTCTGGGAATGCTTTGGCTTATCGTCCATGTCAAAGTTTGGGATCCCTGTAGCCTCGAAGCTCTTCCCCATCTCATATGCAAAGGTCCCTCACTTTTATGTTCATCCCTCACCCCATAAACTGAATTCTTCCCCTGAAATATCACAAACAACACACACACACACACACACACACACACACACACACACACACACCCCTGCTTGCCTTCCCTTCAAGAGCCTGCCTTTGGTGCTCACCAGGGGACATGGTGAGAAGTCCTTTGATCTCCTTTTCTTCCTGGAGAATCTCAGGGGTGAGATAGGCTGGAGAAGGCCTCTGTCCCTCAAAGGCTCCCCCTACCCCGGGGCAGGAGTTTATGTAGTCCATGGGATAAGGCCTTCATCCCTGCTGGATGCAGCAGATGCCAATGCCTGCTCTTCCTTGCTGGAGAGGTAAACCCCTGAACTTCAGATCTGATTGGTGATGTCTGTTAGGGAGTATCTGATTAAGATTTGCTCCATACTCTGGGGTCTGCTGCTCAAGGCAGTTAGAACAGTGAGGTTGAGAAGCTCTCTGGGATTTTCCTCTCGCCCAGTGGCCTGCATAGCTGCCATTGACAGCCTGCTGCTCCAGGGCAGGGAGGCCACTGGATAAAGCTGCTCGGATGGCTATACATTTCTGTGCCCGCTGCACAGAGTGAGGTGCTTCACGTGGCGGCTGCCTCAGCCTCCACTGCCCACCAGCCTATCCATGGCTCAATGGGGTCAGTGCCTCTCCACTGGTCTCATTTTCCAACCTGTTTTCCAAGCACTGACATATGGCTGAGGCCCTGCTGGGATCCATGGCCAAGTTTCCCCCATGATCAGGATGTTAGCTCTTGCTGCATGCAGTGCCTGGGTCTTTTCAGGGCCCTACAGTCTCCACTGATCCTCCTCACACCTGCACAACCCCTGCCCCTCCACCAGGTAAATGGGTTCTCAGCCCCTGACCTGCACAGGCCTCCTTCAAAGAACCCAGGGGCTCTGGGCAGGAATGACCCTTATAGAGCTGTCTACTCCTCCACTGTAGCAAACCCATCCCTCCACATCCCTACTTGCCTCTCTGGACTTGCATACCTCCCGAGACAGGGACCTCCGTCCCTTTTCCGGCAGCGAACTGGTGTTTAGACAGTGCCCTCTGGGAGAAGTACTTCCTTGTATTGAGCTTGAACCCCCATTTTCAGAAGCTTATACCACTCAGCTCTTTCTTCCCACTCTCTCCAAGAGGCCCAGCAGTCTCCGTTCCCATCCCAGCCTCCAGCTTTTCCAGTGGAGGGTGCTCGATTAGAGGGTGGAGTGGGCAGGGAGGCTATAGCTTGCTACTGCATCTTCAGTAGCCATTTCCATAGGCTGAGGGCTGGCCAGCAAGTCCTCCGTGTAGGAGAATGGACCCCATGACCCCTTGAGATGGTCTTTTCCCCTCGAGGCTCGGCCAATCCCTCTTTGTCCCACCCTGTGCCATAGACAGAGCAGCTGAGTTGGAAAGGGGCTACTTAGAGTACTGGCTCCATTGGGCTGGGTGGAGAAGGGGAATTTTCTTCCAGAATACACAGGGGCTGGTTTCTTCCTGATCCTCAGGAGCAGAGGATATGGGCAGGGTGAGGGAGGCCACCACACTGCCGTGGTTTCTCCCGCCAAATTCCCCAGTCCTAGGAAAGATCCACAGAAAAAACCCACAAAAATTTGAATGTCTGAGCTGGGGCTGTGATTGAAATGAAATTTTTTAAAAAGAAAGAAAAACAAAAAGAGAAATAGAAAAAGAAGGGAGAGAAAAGATTGAAAAAACAACTCAAAGCCCCTAGAGCCCTCAGCTGCCAGAAGGGCCCAAGACAGCAGCCACATGGAGGGGGAGGGGGTCTTAAGATACTTTGCACGCCACTGGGTCCCTGGGCCCCTGAGCCAGGGCTGTTTGGTCAGCTCAAGTTCTGAGGCTCTGTGTCCTCAGAATAGCTTGGAATTACAAACCATTCAGTAAGGCATCAGGCCCTACCCCAGAAGGCCAGGCTAGGGTCCCTTCCTTTTAGTCCATATTCATGCCCACCTCTCTTCTCAGACAGAGCTGAGCCCTCTCCTGTCACTCAACTCACTGCAGTTGCTTCCTGCCAGGTCTCTAGGTCTCCCCGCTTCTAGACTTGACCCCTGACACCACCCTCCAGGAGATGGCAGGGTGAGGCACAGAGGAGGGATAGACCCTAGAGTGGATGGAGGAAGGTTGGCAGTGGCTGCCTACTACTGGTTCCCCGCTCCCTGGGTACCAGCCATCCTCCAGCTCCTTCCCACCAAATCTGATCAGAACATCCTGGGGATGTGGGCATCCAGTGACCTGGGGGCTTTGGAAGTCTGGGAGAAGGAACAGCTGACAAATTTCATTCGACTCACTGAGTTTGAAGGGCCCAAGAGACGCAAAGAAATTTGTAAGCGGACAGGGCAGACAGGAGCCACAGAAGCTTCCATGAAGATCAGAGACTGGTTGGGGGAGGAGGTGGGGGAAGTTGCAGAGCCCAGCATAATAATAGTGAACTTTTAGTTTTACATAGTGCTTTTTAAAAAAGATTTTATTTATTCATTTATTTTTAGAGAGAGGGGAAGGGAGAAAGAAAGAGAGAAACCTTAATCGGTTGCTAATCGCACACTCCCAACCCAGGCATATACCCTGACAGGGAATTGAACCAGTGACCTTTCAGTTCACAGGCTGGTGCTTAGTCCACTGAGCCACACCTGCCAGGGCCACATAGTTCTTTTTATGTGCCAGGGACTATCCTAGGTATTTCATAGGAATTATTACCTCATTCCATCCTTATTACAGCAACACAGTGAGGTAAGTGCTCTCATTATCTCCATTAGGTGAAGGCAGGTGGGCACAGAGAGGTTAGGTAACCTGTCCCAAATCACGCGGCTAGTGACTGGTGGGGTCAGTCGGATTCGAACTCAACAAACCCCTTTAACTACAGTTGTGAGCGTGTAAAACAGGAGGCAGAGCCTTGCACTGGTAATCGGGACGCAAGTCCCAATTCCATCCGGTCTCCATAGTTTCCCTTCATCGTACAAGGGAGAATCCAACCAAAGAGCGCCCTCTCCTGGAAGAGGCTCTCCCGGATGCATCCTTGATCGGGTCTTCGGCCTAACGGACGAGAGCGAGGCGAGCGACCGAGAGCCTGCCCCGCCTCCGCCCGCTGCTCTGCCCCGCCCCACTCCGTGCTAAGTGCCTCTTGGGTGGTGCCTAGGAGCGCCACGAGCCCCGACCCAATGGGAAGGCGCGATGGAGAGCCCCGCCTGCGTCCCCGCCTTCGCTCAGGCAGGTGGGAAGCAGAGTGCTGGCTAGCGCGTGATTGGCAGCGGGGCGGGCCTGTGAGTCCAAGGCGTGGGTACGGCGTAAGTTTTGCGTGGGCAGGGCGTGGCTCGGAGCGGGAAACATGGCCGGGCCGGGTGCTGGCGAAGGCTGCTCCCGCTACGAGGATGAGAGGGACGACGGCGTGTTCCGGGCGGCTGTGGCGGTGTTTGCAAAGCTGAAGGTGCTGCGACCCCGGGGAGCCACCCGGGGCGTCCCAGCCGAGCGGCGGGCGGGACCACTAGCAGAAGTCGGTGGCGCTTAGCCTATTGCCCCAGTCTCCGCACCCGGTTGCGCCCTGTGTCCCGCTGCAGGGATGCCTTGTGGGGGCGTCCGTATCTGCTCTTTGGGAGGTCCTGAGCTTTTGCTCTTGCTGTCCCCATGGCCAGTGCCTGGTAGTTCTGGCCGGTGCCAGAAGTGTACACCGTAACTCCTGTCTCCCGGAGCCTTGCAAGACCTGGCTGGGCTCGCGAAGGAAGTGCAGAGATGCGGAGGACACTGACCCTTGGCTTTAAGGAGCTCTCCGGGCCCAGGAGAGACAGGCGGGTAGAATCCTTGCCCCAGGCTAGTCATCATCACCGGTCAGTGGTGGCAGTAGTGAGCCGCTGGTGGCAGTAGTGAGGAAGCCTGCCCCCAAGGTTGGGTAGTTGTCCCAGGTTCGGCTCTCCCGCACATCCTTCCCCTCTCACCTCCCCGCTCTTTTATCCCTCTCTTCCCCTTCCCACCTTTCTCTCCCTCCCTCCCAGCCTTTTCCCACTTTCCTCCCCTCCCCTCCCTCCCTCCCTCCCTCCCTCCCTCCCTCCCTCCCCCCCTCTCTCCCCCCCTCCCCTTTCCCTTCCCTCCGCTCCCCTGCCCTTCAGAAGACTTCCCTTTGGCCCCCATCCCGCTCCCCGTCCCTTTAGTCCTATAGCCAGGAGCCTGCATTTAGCTTCCGATAATCTATCTACAGCCCCTAGATGCTACTAGGTCAAATCTCTATGAGAGCCCAGAGGGGAGTGTATTTTAAGGAGGTGGGGTGACAGACCGACATAGATGGGGATGAGAATGAGCGAAAATTTACTCCTGGGCAAGATGGAGGAGGGTGTGCTGAGGACTGCAGGTTGCACATGGTGGGAATGGGCAGTGGGCTGGTTAGAGGGCCAGTAATAAGCCTGGTGTGTGCCTGGTGGCAGTAAACATGTAACAGCAGTAAGGGCCTGAGTGCAGAAGTGCATTATAGCCCTTCGTTGATTCTGGTATCTAAAGCTTCCTGGCTTTCCCTTTGCTTGCTTTAGGACCTCAACTGCCCCTTCCTCAACGGTCTTTATCTCACAGATCCAAAGACCATCCAGGAACTGCTGTGTAGCCCGTCAAAGTACCGCTTGGATATCCTGGAGTGGATGTGTATACGGTAATGGAGTTGTTTCTTCCTTCACCAATTTGGGGGTATACTTGGTGCCACTCAACCCACCTGGAAGAGATGGGGTTTGTTCTGTTTATAAGTAGCTGTCCTCCCAGAGGGCCCTATACCCTACCCCAGATAACTGTGACAGCACCTGCTGAGGTAAGAAGTGCCAGCTATGGGCCCATGGTCAAATTTTGGGTGAAAGTGTCCCTCTGCATTGCTTTCGGCAGTCTATCCACCACCTGGCTGAAGTGCTCAGCTTCCTGAGGTTCTTTTTTTTTTTTAAGCTTTAACTACTGATTTCAGGGCTAGCAGGGGCCTGATAAATGATCTGTTTGCTTCAGTCCTTTAATTTTCAGAATGGGAAGCTGAGGGTCAGGCTGGAATTATAACTGTCTCGGGTCTTGCCACTGAGGAGTGTCAAGCAGGGCCAAGACCCCAGTCCTTCAGGTCAAGGTGCAGCCTGGTGTATGTGCTCGGCACTGTGTAAGGGAAGCAAAGCCTGCCCAGATGGCAAAGAGAAAGATCCAGAAAGTCCACAGAATGTCTGTATCTTGGGAGCAGCAGCCCCTGAGCCAAGCATCTGTCTTAAGGCTCTGGTGGGGAAGACAGGCCCTGTGCTTTTGGACATGAGCCCCAGGGCGCTCTCTGGAGTACCAGTGCTTGGTTGGTACAGGGGTCTTTTGTGAGCTTAGGCCTGGGTCTGCCTCTCTTCACACTGGCCTGTCTGCCCTTGCAACTGAGGAAGACACCTGAGCTGGAGCATGGCAGTGGAGTACCGAGGGTCTAGCCTGCACCCAGCTTGTGTGCCTTCCAAGCCACAGGATGCCAGCAGACCTGGCCCTGAGCTGGGTGTCCTAGGGATGGCTAGGAGGAAGGAGGGAGCGTTTTTATGTTTAAGCCTCTCCTGCTGCCCTTTTTCAGATTCCACCACAGGCCTTGGGACACCAGCACTCTTGTAACCTTTTGCTCTCGCTGATCTTTTCCTTCCTAGAGATGTCCTTCAGAGCTTTGCATGTTGCACGTACTCTGATACAGTCTTTAATGACCCAGGTCACAAGACTTACCTCCTTTTCAGAAGTCTCCAGTCCCAGGGCACAGTGCATTCCTCCTTCCCCTGGGCACCTACAACCATTGAGTACACTCCTGCCAGAGCCCTGAGGCCTTTTGGTTTCGTCCTTGTCCTGTCTGGCTCTCCAAAGCACTGGGAGCTGCTGGAGGGCAGGCACCAGGTGGGGTTCCCCCATCAACCCCAGGCTGCAGCAGCATTGTACTGACAAGCAGGCCCGTGGACACATGCACACCTGGGCTGTTCCAGGCGCCTCAAGTCATGGATGGGTGCCCTCACAGAGCTGGGGCTTTAGTGGCTGCAAAAGGCTCAGTCACAAATCCCAGTGTTGGGAACATTGGCAGGGAGGAGGTGGCATTTGGTCTGGGGTGGAACAAGTAATGGTAGGTACTTGTTTTAACAGGACCAGGAAGTGGAGGTGTGGGAGGGAGAGCCAGGCAACAGTGGCCTTGAATGGCAGCCCAGGGTATCTCCTGTGGGGTTTTGGAAGCCACATGAGGCCTTTAAACTTTGTATTCTTGGTAGGAAGGGTGTGGGACCAGGGAAGTGCCAGACAGATTGACATTTTGGCAAGGTGACTTGGGGGTTCTGTGGCAGATGGATTTGAGGGGGAGAGGCTGGAGGCAGGGGGACCTACATGGAAGGTGTAGCAACAGCCCTAGGGAAAGATGGCAGGATTGTGGCTCAGAATGGTAGGTGGCTCATGTGACAGCCATTGCCAGCCCCGGAGGGACGAGCATGTTGTCCAGGAACCAGGAGGATAGAGTACTGGGGATAGCCTGGGCTAGTGTGGAGGTCTTGAGTTCACTCCCAGGAGGACGAGGCCAAAGCTATGGCTTAGAGAGGCTCTTGTGGGGGGGAGCCCACAGTTGCCTGGCCAGGTGGAAGCTAGGGACTGGGCTGCTCTGCTGGCCGGAGAGGCATAGGGGGCAGTTTACCTCTGCATTCTTCAAATGTTTTTAGTACTTTTTTTTTTTAAGTACAAGAAACTAAACCCTTTTTGTGATCTCAAGCTGGCAAAAGTGCTGTTTTTTTTCAAGGGCCCCAAAAGAGAATTGGACAGAGTTCAGTTTCCCCTCAGGTTCATGTTGGCTTTCTTTGCATGCGACTTCACCATTTCAGCCTTTGTCTGGGGCCACCTCATTTACCCCTCTTGGCAGAATCTGGAAGCTGTACCTAGCATTGGCTGGGGAGTTCAGTATGGTGGCTCTTGGTGGCCCATATGCTGAGCTGGCTGTCAGTGCAGGAGAGGAGCAGAGCCACAGGGTGTCCTAGGTAGCTGAGTTCAAGGAACATGGGTTTCCTTGGCTCCCAAAGAGCTGTACTTGCTTTTAAGGCTTTGAATGCTATTAGTTTCTGTTCTGTTCCCTGTCGCTCCAAGGAAAATCAACTTTAATGAAAGCCCTTTCTGAGCAAGGTCACTTAGGCTTTTGCGGATTCGTCGTTTAGTGTGTTGAAGTGCTTTACTGTGGTTCGGCCTGATGGATCGCTGAGTGCTCTCCACTGCTCTGTGCCTTGTGAGTTGGGAACATTGCCTGGCAAGCAGGCCCAGGGGCCAGCTGGCATTTCCTGTGTTGGGGCTCTTTCTTCTTCTGCTCTTTCTGCCCCTGCCCTCTTTGGCAGAATGGGGATGGAGTAGGGTAGGGGCAGGGTTGCCTCAGTGAGTCATGAAGACAGGTGGTAAAGCTGAGCAGCTGAGGCTGCTGGGTCCCGCTCCCTCTCTTACTGCAGTTCTGTAGCGTGAGGCCCTGGGCCTAGCCTGGGAGTGTCCCACTAGCTCCTGGAGCCCCAGTGTGGTCAGGGCAAGTATGGCCTGGGACACGGGTATTTGGAGGCATGGCCCCAGGGAAGGAGCAGTGAGCCCTCTCTCCACGGAACAGCCACTGCGCCTTCTCACTGCGCTGGGCTGCAGGTCCCTTGGGACCTCAGTGGTACGACGGAGTCCCTGGCACCCACCATTCTGTGAAAAGAGCTTCTTTATGTAGGGTAGGCCCACCGTGGCAGCCCGCTCCCAGGGCTCCCTGGCAAACAGGCATGGTCCTCAGCAGCTGGAGCTCAGACTATGCCTGCTAACAGAGCAGACCCAGTGGGAGGCCTGTGTTGGGAGTGACTTGTGATGTCTGCTGGGGTACTGCGGCCCTTACTGCCTTTGGACACAGAACAGGGCACTGTATCTGGGAGCCTGTGGGCCTGCCCTGTGGGCTGGTCCAGGCTGCAGAGGAGCGCTGGCCTTCTCCTGGGTGCTATGTCCTGTACTTCCGGTGCTTTCCTACTGATAGGACCATGTCCAAGCCACATAAGCCTGTGTCTGGAAAGGGTTCTGCCCATCAGCTCAGCACCTTAAGGCAAGATGCTTATAAGTGACCACTGTTTCATTTACCTGTGTGGTGTCATCCAAGCCGGGGTTCCACTAGGCCAAGAGGGGGCAGCTGGGATTCCAGTTTCCCCACCAAGGAGGCTGGGACCGTGACCCTGGAGCCCATAACACCCTATGGGAGCTTCCAAATGGCTTAAAGCTGTGACCTGGAGTAGCTTAACCCCCCCACCCCCACCGAATTTTGCTTTTTAGGAAATAGAAAATGTTTCTCTGCAAAAAGAGCTGAGTGTGGACATTTACTGACGGCAGATTATTCCATAGCAAGAGGCCATGGCCACTTGCCTGTTAACTCTTACTGGCCCCCTTTTCTGTGCTGCCTGCCATGTTAGACCCTAGAAATACTGGATGGAAAGCCAGCTGCTGGCCTTGGCGAGCCTGAAGTCTTGGGGGCGGGAGCCCAGCAAAGGACAGTGCCCAGGCTGTGCTGTGATGGAGGGATGCCAAGGTGGCTTCCTGGGGGTGGGTGGTGACATCAGCCATGGGCTTGGAGGGATGAGTTTTGCTGACTCAGTGTGCTCCGGCAGGGAGGCTGAGAAGGGCAGACACTATGAAGAGAGAGGCTCAGGAGGGTGACCTGCAAGGATACCAGAAGGGCTGGATCCTGGGACACCCTCCAAACAAACCTGTGCCATGGTAAAGAAAAACTGGCCCCTTGCTTCCTTCTGAGGAAGACCTAGAGTTCTGGGGGATTTCATTTTGTTCTCTTGGGCCATCATTTTATTTTATTTTTATTGTGAGAATTTTAATTTCCGTTTCCAAATTCATATATCTGAGGTAAACTTTCAGAAATATTTATTATCGTAATTGCTCATTTATGGAAATTGGCAATTGCACATGATGTTGAAATGCAGATCACACAAAACTATCCAATTTAAAGTGAATGTCTCAATGGCGCATAGCACATGAACGAGTAATTCACTTTTTAGAATTCAGATAAGGAGGGGTTGTGAGGGGCCTTTGTACCCTGATCAGCCCTGACTGGTCTTGCTCTTTCCTTGCAGGGCCTGTCCTTCCAGTCAAGACAGGTTCAGCTTGCTGAAGGGGGCCTCCACTGAGCTGAAGATCCAAGGTGGGTCTGAGTTAGGGGAGTTTGGAGTTGGGTGGTGGATTCTGGGCTATTCTGAGCTTGTGCTTGGCCTCCTTAGTGAGTTGTGAATTTCCCATTCGACTGGTGTTTTCTTCTGGATGGTGCGCACCCTGTAGATATTGCTAGAACCTTCTAGAACCAGGCTTCCTCCCCCACTGGTGTGGTGAGTGGGTGAGCTACTGATGTAGGGCATGTGAATAAGACCAAGACCCCATCCCCTGAGGCAGTGTGGGCAGAGACAGCGGTTCTTGTGGATGCCAGCAGTGGTTCTGTGTGCATGTGTGCACTAGGTAAAGGAGAGCAAATTGCAGTCCTCAAGGTGGTGGCTAACTCTCCACCATCACAATGGTATCTCCAAAACTTGAAATTTCCAAGGGCCTACTTTTGGCCCAACCACCCGAGGATGGAGCAAACTGGACTCTGAAGTCCTGATCCATGACCCAACTGGCACTGCCAAGTTAATTAAATGAGGATAATTGGCCCTGAGGCCCAGATAGGCCAGAAGAACAGGGCACTGTGTCTTGGAGCCTGTGGGCCTGCCCTGTGGGCTGGTCCAGGCTGCAGAGGAGCGCTGGCCTTCTCCTGGGTGCTATGTCCTGTACTTCCTGTGCTTTCCTACTGATAGGACCATGTCCAAGCCACATAAGCCTGGCCATAGGATACCACCTGAATTCCTTAACACATGCGCATATACAGGTTTTGACCCTGGCCCTCAGCCCAGCCACAGCTTGGACCTTGCCATTCCCAGTCTCAGTTTCCTCTTTGGTAAAGTGTGGGTGGGTGATAACCTTAGCCTTGCCCACCTTGTTGGAGTGTGCTGAGTGTCGAAGCAGGTGGTAGGCATGACTGCTTGTCAAGGATTGTAAGTGGGAGAAATTGGGACAGATGAGATTACAGGAATCATGAATTCATCTGACAGGTATTTATGGAGCATCTGCTACGTACCCTGTACTGTTTTAGGTGCTGGCAGTGCAGCAGCGAGTTATGCTGCTCTCACAGTGCTTAGGTGCTAGCTGGCAGAGACAGGTGATAAAGAAGACAGCAAGATTCTCAGTATATGGATGGTGAGAAGCACCATAAACAAAGACAGGTGAGGGCAGAGTGGTACGTGGGTGGGTTGGGAGAAGGGTGGTTCTGTTGACATGAGATGGCCAGGGAAGTCCTCTCTTTTAAATAGAGACTTGCCCGCGGGAAGAAAGCGAGTCAGAGAGGCACCAGAGAGAATACTGTTCAGGGCATGAGAACAGCAAGTACAAAGGGCCTGAGGTAGGCTTGTGTGTGCCTGGCAGCTTTGAGGAACAGTGAAGAGGTCATGGTGGCTGGTACCTAGTGGAGAGCAAGAGAAGAAAGGTGGGGTGAGGTCAGAGGGGGACAGGACTGGATCTGGCCAGGCCTTGTGGGCCACAGAGTGACATTGAGGAAGGTTGCAGCCTGACTGTGTGTTTCTCGAACTCCCTTGGGCCACTGTGCTGGGAATAGGAGGCTCAGGCAGACATGGGAAGGCCATTGAGAGGGTCTTCCCGTGAACCAGGCTGGTAATGGGGATGAGAGTGGGAGCGGGGCACTGTCCAGATCCTGGATTTATAGGGAAGGGAGGGTCAGCCAGACTCCCTGAGGTTTGCATGTGAGCTAAGCAAGAGAGGGGCCAGGGAGCACACCAGGATTTGGGGTTAGGGGCTGTGGGCAGAGCCGGTGTGCTCTGTACAGTGTTCCAGGATTACCGATGCTTTCACGTGGACATACTCCTTGCTTCTTGCACCAAATCTCCCAAAGCAGGTGCCAGAATTATGCCTGTTCTGTCACTGAAGCACTTGGGGGTAGGAGATGGGCCTTGCCTATGAGTGTAAGGACATTGCCACAGAGCTAGGTGGTGGGTGTGGAGCTGGCATTGGCCCCAGGCTTTCTGGCTCTAAGTCTTGGTCTTTCTCTGTATACCAGATAGTTCCTCAGAAAATACCCAGGGCACCCTGGACTCAGTTTCCCAATCTGTAAAATGAAGCTCAGGTTTACTTCCTAGGGTTGGCGGCAAGAGGAAAGGAAATGACGACATGCAAGGTGTGTAGGAAATTGATAAATGAGAGCGATTCCTTTTGCTTTGGCCTGCTGAGGTCTCTGAAAAGGCAGCACACAGCATGTTTGCAAGGTTCCCTGACCTCTGTCAGCTCCTCAGGAAGCTACTGTCTTCTCTGAGAAGCCGAAGTTCTCTACATGGAAGAGCATCGGTTGTGACCCCTTATTTTTAGGTGAGGAAACTGATGCCCAGAGAGGGGGCAATGACTGGATGAAGATCACACAGCCAGAGGCAGTCTTAGCACCTCTGAGTGTGGTCAACCTGCTTCCTTATCCAGCCGGGTCTCTCAGGCCCAGCCTAGCTTTGTGGGCTCTGGACCTGCCGACACTGGAGCAGGAACGCCCTTAACAGAGAACTCCTGGGAACCCTGTGTGTTCCTGCGCCCCTGGGTATGCAGTATCCCCTCCTATTTGGGTGGGTGTCTGTAGTAATAGGGTCCTTGTGTCTCAACAGAGATGGTGAAACTGTGCCATGAGCTGATGCTGTGTGGGCCGGATGACCAGGAGCTCCTGAAGGTAAGAGAGTGCCGTGTCTGTCCCCACTCATTCCTTGCCCCTTAGGGCAGGAATCTGCAGGATTCCCTTGAGTAGATCCTAGCCATTGCTGAGAAGGCTGAGCTGGATTCAGGCTTATGATGACCAAAGGGAGGGACAGAGTGCATCTTGTACTCAGTTGATGACGTCATATACCTTGGCACTGTGGTAGGTACTATACAAGAGGGATCCCCCCCAAAACCGGAAATATCTTCTGGAGGGTGAGCCCCTTGTAGTACAGGCTTATCTTGCTAGGTCAGTATGCTAGGAACCCATCTGCATCAGTGTCTGTACCAGCTGGTGTTGTTGTGAGAGGCTGTGTTCGGCTTCAGTGAATTGTTTTTGAGGATTTTTTCAACATGTTTGCTCATTTCATGATGGGTGATTTACAAGCACTCCTGCCCACACCACTCTGGGTGTTAGCAGTGTTTGACCGAAATGGCTTGATCCCTGTGCCTCACCCTCCATAGTCATGCGATCTTGCCCCTGAGTGACTTCTTTTTGTTCCCCTAGATGAAAATAGCCCTCAGAGGGAAACATTTTGCCCATGTGGGAGAGGCGAAACAAAAAACGGCAGAAGCACTAGAAGGCATCAAATCGATTAATTAAGAAACTGTTTTCAGCAGCGGAAAAAATGTCTCCATAAGTGTATTGCATCAAATGGCGAGCACTTTGAAGGTGACTGAAGTTTAAACAATGTGAGAATAGGTACACATTTTTTTACAGATCAATTCTGGCTTTTTATGGGTACCCCTTGTACATGCCAGTAATTGTTTCACCTACCTCTGGCAGCAGTACTTGCCTTAGCTCCTTTTCACAGGAGAGGTGACAACGCACTTGAGGTCACCCAGTGACAGAGCCTGGCCTTAAACCCAGGCCTGCAGCTCCTGAGCCCGTGCATTTCCCCCATGTGCTTGCTACCTGCTGCAGAGGCGGCGCCATCCACACCCTCCTCCACGATCGGTCACTGCTGATTCAGAGAAACCCTCCCCTCTACTCTTAATACTTTAAACACTTTTTGAAGTAGTTGTTTCCACATTTTGGCCATTACAAATGATGTTGCTATGAATGTTCCTATACGTGATTTTGACTGCAGACATGTTTTCAGTTCTCTGGGGTATATAGCTAGGACTTGCTGGGTCATACAGTAACGTGACGTGTAACTCTTCGAGGAATGGCCAAACTATTTTACAAAGTGGCTGCACCATGTTTACATTCCCACCAGCAATGTGTGAGGGGTCCAGTTTCTCCACAGCCTCATTGGCACCTGACTAGTGTCCATCATTTTGGTTCTGCCTATCCTGGTGGGTGTGAAGGGCTATCACATTGTGCTTTTTAATTTGCATTTCCCTGATGACAACCGATGTGGAGCACCTTCATGTGCTTATTGCTATGTATAGATCTTCTTTGGAGAAATGTCCGTGTTTAATTCTTCTGCCCAGTTTTTAATTGCTCTTTTTTGTCTCTTTATTGCCAAATTATAAGAATTCTTTATAATTACTGGATACAAGTCACATCAGATATTTGAATTGTAAGTATTTCCCCCCTGTCCTGTGGATTGTCTTTTCACTTTCTTGATGTGTCCTTCGGAGCACAGAAGTTTTCAGTTTTGATGCAGTCCACTTTATTTACTTGTTCTTTTGTTGCCTGTGCTTTTGCTGTGATATGTTTAAGGGTCCATTGCCAAATCCAAAGTCATGAGGATTGACACATGTTTTCTTCTGAGAGTTTTATGGTTTTACCTTTTACACATGGGTCTAGAGGTAGTGGTACGTGTGGTGTAAGATATGCATCCAACTTCACTCCTTGGTGTGTGGCTGTTCATTTGTCCCAGTACCATTTATTGAAAAGACCCTTTTTTCCCTCATTGAATTGTCTTAGCATCCTTGTTGAAAATCACTTAACTGTAAATATGAGGGTTTGTTTCTGGATTATCCATTCTAATCCATTGACCTATATGTCTGTCATTATTCCAGTACCACACTGTTTTGATTACTGTAGCTTGTAGTAAGCTCTAACATAGGAATCCTCCAACTTTGCTCTTTTTAAAGATTATTTTGGTTATTAGGGGTCTCTCAAATTTCCACATGAATTTTAGAATCAGCTTGTCAATTTCTGTAAAACAGACAACTGGGATTTTGATGGAGATTTTGCTGAATCTGTAGATCACTTTTGGGGGAGTATTGCCATCAAGTACCGTATTTTGCCGTGTATAATGCACACTTTTTTGTCCAAATTTTTTAGGGAAAAATAAGGATGCACGTTATACATGGGTAGTACCTGAAATACATTGTATCTGTTCTTGAGTTTTGTAATTAGTTATTACATAAAATTTCTTGTACCATAATGTATTTTTAGAAATGCTAAAATTCCTGTATAATATAAAAAAAACAAGTATCTAAATATATATAAATAAGAAATTGAATTAAAAAAATTAAAATGAAAGCTTTTCCCCCCTGAAAGTTTGGCCCAAAAATGTGGGTGTGCACTGTGCTCGGCAAAATACAGTTTATTGTCTTCCTATCCATGAACTGTCTTTCCATTGTTTTCGGTTTTCTGTAATTTCTTTCAAAGGTGTTCTGTAGCTCTCAGTGTACATGTCTTATACTTCTTTTGTTAAATTTATTCCTAAGTATTCTTTATGATGCTATTGTAGATGAAATTGTTTTCTTAATTTCATTTTTGTATTGTTTATTGCTAATTGATTTTTTGCACATTGCTCTGGTATATTGCCCCCTTTCTAAACTTGCTTAGTAGTTCTAATAATTTTTTTTAGTGGATCACTTGGGGTTTTCTGTACACAAGGTCATGTTATCTGCAAATAGAGATAGTTTGATGTATCTGCCTTTCCAACTTGGATGCTTTTTATTTATTTTTTCTTACCCAAATGCTCTCTACCACCTCCAGAACAATGGTGAATAGAAGTGGTGAAAGTTAACATCTTTATCTTGTTCCTGATTTTAAGGGAAGTACTTGATCTTCACCACTGAGGATGATGCTAACTGTGGGTTTCTTTTTTAATTGATGTCCTTTATCAGGTTGAGGATGTTCCCTTCTCTTTCTACATTGTTAAGTTTTTATCATGAAAGGGTGTTGAATTTCAGAAATGCTTTCTCTGCATGTACTGAGATGATCGTGGGGTTTTGTCCTTTATTTTATTCTTCTTTCATTTGTGATCTTCCAAGTGTCTTTCTGGTATCATCTTAATTCTGTCTGAAGAACTGCCTTCATCAGTTTTTTTTAGCAGTGTTCTGCTCTGTCTATATTCTCTTAGATTTTATTTATTTGGCCATGTCTAGCTCCCCTTCATTCTTGATGGATATTTTTTCACTGGATATAGAATTTGCGGTTGGCAGTCCTTCTTTCTCCACAGGCTCTAACCACAAATCTGCAGTCATTCGAATCATTTTCCCCTTGTGGGCCATGCATTGTTTTTCTCCTGCTACTTTAACATTTTTTTTCTTTGTTGTTTGATTATGTGTTCCTGGGAATATTTCTTCAGGATTGTCCTGCTTGCATTTGCTTACCTTCACAAATCTGTAAGTTTGTATATTTTGCAAACATGGAAAGTTTTATCTGCTTTCTCTCTGCTGCTCGTATTGGATAGTTTCTGTTTACATTTTCAAGGTCATTGACTCTTTCCCCGTCCCCTCCATTTTGCCATTGAGTCCATCAGTGAGTTTTTAATTTGTTTTTTCTATTTTTCTGTTCTAAAGTTTCCATGTTATTTTAAATATTTTGTTTCCTTGCTGATGCTTTCTATTTTAACTTTTCTTTCAACAGTGTTCATGATCAGCTCATCAGCATTTTTATGATGACTGGTTTAAATTTGTCAGGTTATTCCAGCATCTGTGCCATTTTGTCAGTGATGTCTTTTGATTGTCTTTTCTCATGAAAGTTGAGATTTTTGTGGTTTGCTTCATGTGCCAAGTAATTTTAGATTGTGTCCCGGACATTTTGACTGTTACTTTGACTCTGGGTCTTGTTAAGTTTTATGGAGAACCTTTGTGTTTTAGAAGGCACCCAGCCTGGTTAATTTTAAGCTGCATGTTCTGCCTCTTCTGCCTGCTTCTCTGGCCTGTGGTCCCAGTGTCCGCTCAGTTTCCACAGACCTTTGTGCCATTTGGATCTGTGGTGCATGTGCGCCACCTGCTGGTTGGCTTGGGACTTGGGCATTGGTTTCTCCTCCGGCTTAGTAATCAGAGTCTTCAGTATGTTCATTGAGATCAGAGCTTTGGCCCTGGCTGGGGTGACTCAGTGCATTGAGTGTTGGCCTCGGAACCAAAGGTTCTGTTCCCACTCAGGGCACGTGCCTGGGTTGGAGATGGGGGAGGGGGGCTGCCTCGGGAGACAACCACACATTGAGGTTTCTCTCCCTGTCTTCCTCCTTTCTCTAAAAACAAAACAAACAAACAAACAAATCAGAGCTACCCTTACACTGGGTGAGGGGAGGGGATGGGTTGAGCCATGAACAGATTTATGGGGTCATTTTCCTGAGCTCTTCCCTCCCTGTCAGCATCTTTGATGCTATCTGCGGGAGGAGGCTCTCCTTTCTTGTCCTCCAGCCAGCCATAAATCGCTCACTTCTGTGACTGCACCGTAGAAGAACCAAGAGGAAGAAGGGGTAATAGGATTTGGCCCCATAACTCCACCAAACGGATAGGAAGTGTCCCTGCCCTCAGAGTGTTAGTGTTGCTCCTGTTGTCAGATACTTTGGTTGTTGCTTGGGGTCTGAGAGAACAGAGAAGAGGGAGAGAAAGAAGGCTGGGGATTTCTTCTACTCTATTGGAGTGTGAGGAGTTCTCTTTTCTGGAGCTCTCTCTCTGTACCACCATGTTTCTTCCGGGTTTGGGCTGGGCTGAGGTCAGGTCCGGGCAGAGCGGAGGCAAGAACACAGTAAATTGTCTCCGGTCTGAACGGCGACCTTGGTTTCTGTGCCTCCCCTGCAACTCCTGGCGTTGACCTTTCTGAGGCTGCAGACACCTGCCACGTACATTCTGTCCTGCCCTGAGCCGTGGGTATTTCATGGGAGAAGAAGATGGCATGTGTTCCCTCCATCTTAGCCAGAACTGTAACCCTTCCCTTAGTTTTTATTTTAAGAATGATTTTCATTGTGGTAAAAATGCACATAGCATAAAACTTATCATTTTAACCATTTAAAAAATATTTCCCAGCCAGCCCTGACGGGGTTCTACTTTTTTAAGAAAACATTTTTATTTTGGTAAAAATACAAATAACATATAATTTACCATCTGAACCATTTTAAGTGTAGTCAGCAGTATTAAGCACATTCACAATGTTGCGTAACCGTCATTGCCTTCTATCTTCGGAACTGTTTTCATCTTCCAAAACTGAAACTCTGCACCCAATTTTAAGCCATTTTACTGAAAGCAGACAATTCAGCATTTAGTACATTCCCAGTGTTGTGCAGTCATCACCTCTTTGTGGTTCTAGAACATTTTCACCTTCCTAGGAGAAGATCCGTGCCCATTAAGCAGGCTGGTACCCACTAGTCTGCTGCCTCTGTTTCATAAAAGTGGAGTCATACAATATGTGGCCTTTCGTGACTTGCTTCTTCACTTAGCAGGTTAGTTTCAAGGGTCACCCTTGCTATAGCATGGATCATTATTTCATTCCACTTTATACAATAAAAAAGTAAAAGGAAAAATAATAATTTATGTCGACACCAGTGAGTGTTGGGAATTGGGGCACAGGAGAAAGGAGATACAGGTGTGTGAGCTCCTAATATGTTGGAACTTAAAAAACGTGTGTGTGGGAGCCGTCCTTGTGGGGGGTGCCAGGCAGCTGCAGCACAGGGAGTCGAGCTGCAGGTATTATAACAGTACATCCCTGTCCCCAGGTTTCCTCCCTGCCCCGGGCCACCTGGGCTAAAATACCATCAGGAGCCTCTTGGCCCTTTGACTTTTCAGCCTGTGCCTTCCACACCCACTTTAAGTGAAGATGCTTTTCGGAGGACTTTATAGTAAGCAAGTAGCCTGTGAGGCTGGCTAAGCAAATGGTCTGACGCATTCCTCAGACTAGCAGGTGTGGAGGGCAGGGCAGTAAGGAGCTACAGTGGAGCGGCAGGAACAGTTTTCTTTCTGGCGTAGTTGCTTACATAGGGTTCTCTGCAGCAGGCCAGGCTTCTCAGGTTGTAAGTGGGTCCTGGGGATTATCTGTGAGCCTCTTCTTCTTTCTGGAAGGAGGAAGGATTTGTACTTCTGAAACCTTGAGCTCCTGGCTGGGCAGCAGCCTGCTGGGAATCCCAGCCAACTTTAGGGCAGGGGACTAACTCAGATGCTGCTTAGGGACCCTGGCTATAAGGCCAACCACATGCCACCTGTTAGGGACAAGTCCTTGCTCTCCCTGCGGAGGAGCAGGGTTGGCGCAGGCCACTTCTTTGACCTCGTCTTGCTGTGCCAGTCAGCTTTGGTCTTTCCTGGGTGGAGCGGGTGATCTGCTGAGGGGGGCAGGCCTCCTTCTGGAGATGTTCCTGAGAAACAGGCCACCATCAGGTTCCTGTGGGCTGTGTTCTGCCGTCACAGGCCCTCCTGTACCCCACATGCCCGCCTAAGAAGCCGCACTGGTGGATGTGTGATGAACATACACTACCATATGTTTATACAGCACTTGTTGCTTCCAGAGTGGTCCCAGGCATCATTGCAGCCCAGGGCTGGGCTGGAACAGGGAGTGCTCACTGATCACAGCCCCTGAGACTGTGATCCCTGAGCCAGTCCAAGATGTTGCCTGGTGGGGACCAGGGAGCCGGTGGCCCAGGCTTTTCCTTTCCACTAGCTGCAGCAGTGTAGGCGTCAGGTGGGGGCACCCAGCATGCCTTGCCAGTGAGTACATGTGGTGTTTCCTGCCCAGGGCTGGGCCTGCGCCCAGAAGCAACTGCACTTCATGGACCAGCTGCTGGACATGATCCAGAGCCTGACCATCGGATATTCTAGCTTCGCCAGGTAAAGGCTCATAACAGGCCCTCCCTCCACAGAATGGCCAGTGGGTGTCCTTGGTTCTCCAATTAGAGCTGGTGGGCACAGGGACCTGTTGGGCACCTGGACCTGCCACCAGGCACATCTCTAGCTGGGGTTTCACTCCCCACCCTGGCAACTGCATGCTGGCCCAGGTACCAGGCTGTTCAGGGTAAAGGGGATGGGCCTGCTGATGGGCAGGCTCTTGGCTGCATGGGGCTCAGCTCTGGCTTCCAAAGCAGGCGAGGACTGGAGGAGATTCCCTCCTCTGGGCCTATTGGCCAGCTCTTGCTGGGCTTCTTGGGTTTCCCACATGGGACCTCACACAGCCCCTGGGTGCTGTGCTGCAGCCTGTGACTGTGGCCCTGGGGCTGCCTTTGCAGTGTGCAGGGGCAGTTCGAGGACACTTTGGAGAAGAACGAGGAGCTGCTCGGAGAACTGTACTCCGGCTCCCAGCTGCAGACAATCCTGACCCCTGAGTGTGACCCAGGGCTCCTGGACATGCAGCCCCCTGACAAGCAAGGTGATGACCGGCAGAGGTATGGGCCGTGCATGGTTCTGTGATCTGGGACAGACTCTTCATGTGTGGCCTGAGATGGAATAGAGCTGGGAGTGTGTCCCCTTTTCTCCCTGCAGGGTCAACTCCCCTGTGGAGTTGGACAAGGAGAAGGTGATAGAGCTGGCCAGGCTGCTGCAGGAGAGCGTGGTCAAGCTGCAGTCACTGCGGACAGAGGTGAGGGTGCTGGCTCCCAGGGCCTTGGGCACCCTGTCTTCACAGTGAGCGTGTCGTGAGGCTTAAGTGAGCTGGCATGTGTGCGGAGCCCGCCGGGCTCTAGAATGTAGCGGGTGTTCAGCCCACATGAAGGGGGGAGAGAGACAAGCTCCAGGCCGGAACTGGGAGGTTTCTTGTAGAATGGAAAGGATTGGTCAGGTGGACTGCACGCCAGGCCCTGAGCTCTGGGCTTTCCTGTACCACCTTGCACGTGACCCTGACATCCACACAGGCTGTAGGGGCAGGGCTGAGGCCAGAAGGCAGTCAACTTTGCTTGAAACCAGGTTGCTCTTTTCTGTTTCTTGTCTTACTGTCTCCTGGTTTTTGGAGGCCTGGGATGGCCAGCAGATCCTGCCTCTGATGGGTGGAAGGGACTTGGTGCCCCATGGGCATGCAGGGCAGCGTGAAAGGACCTTCTCCCTTTGGCTTTGCAGTGCTTTCTGCAGCACAAGCAGGGGGCCGCTGTAAGCAGGGTCGACACCAGCACCCTGGACCAGAAGCTGCGCCTGGTCATCTCTGACTTCTACCAGCTCGTCATAGCTTTCCTCCAAGTCTACGATGATGAGCTGGGTGAGCACTGCCAGCGCCCAGGCCCCTACGTCCACCCGTGCGGCCCCATCGTCCAGGCTGTGTACCAGACTCTGACCTCGTGTCGTCAAGTAAGAATCACCCTCTTGTCTCCCACTGTAGCCCCCAGCAAGGGACCCAAGGGCTGGGACAGGGGGCTGGGAGGCCCTTGGCTCAGGCTCCCTGTGAGTAGGTGGTATGGCTGTAGCCCTCAGCCTGCGACCTTCGGTGGGTTGTGATGGTAGCTTTTCCTGGTGCCCTGGAGGGGATGAGGGGTACTGTGGGTGCCCCCCTGAGATCCCCACTACACTTCAGGGGGTGTTCACTGAGCCAAGCCCCTGGGCCTGGAAGGGGTTTGTGGACTGCCTGCTCTGTGTCCTAAATGCCTACGACATTCCTGCTCTTTCACTGGACCGGAATTGTTACTGTGAGCATTGTTGCATGTCTTCCCACCTTCTTTAAAAGCATGATCTTAGTGGCTCCAGAGCATTTCTTGCCAGCTTCGGGCCCTGTATTAGTCTCGTTCTGCCTTTGTGACACACCAAACTGTATCATGGCTCGTTTGCTCTTGAGTATGACCGACAGCTATGCCAGATAGGCAGGTGCCTGCCTGTTTGCACCCTTGACTCAGCTCAGACAGGGAGCAAACAGTAGTCTCACACTGCCGAGCCGGCTCCTTGCATAATTACTCATTGTGTTGCTCCACATCACAGACCCCCAGAGCCGACCTGAATGCAGACTTGGGCTATGATTATGAGCACAGCCCTTTGGGGCTGAGATCCCCACTGCATGGCCCTTTGACATTGGCTTGGGGCTTGTACAGCCTTTGGTTATTTAGTGGAGAGGCTCCTAAACTTCCAAACCTCTGGTTGGCCCGTCCTTTGTGACTCTGCCAACAGGGTGAGTTAGGGTACAGTCCTCTCCCATCAGAAAGGCCCTTTTGTTTGGGGGCATTGATTCCCCACCATAGGACATTTTCTTACTGTGCCACTGGCTTTGCTTGGCTACCAGTGTGGGGTGGGACACGTGATAGTGTGGTGTCCCTGCTGGGCCAGGATGAAGGAACTTGGGTTGGAGAACTCTGATTCATGACTCTTCATGTAGCTGGGAGTTTTGCCATCACCTGCGGATGTCCTTGGGGGTGAATGCCACGTGCTTAAGTGTCTAGGGGGGGCCACACACTCCATGTGAATCTGGGTGGGAAGAAAGGTGCCTTTTATCGGTCAGACCACCGCACTTAATGCCCACGTATTTCCCTCCCTCCCTCCCAGCTGTTGATAGCAGTGATGGAGCTCACTGACGTCTCGGCAAGTGCTGTAGGCATGGCGCAGCGGCAGCAGGCTGAGCAGATCTGTTGGAGCAGCAACAACTCTGTGATGAGTCTGGGTATGTGGTCACCACTTTATGCAGCTGTGGTCTCCCACTCAGCGGTCGTGGACAGCACTGTCCCAGTGCACCTGGCTTAGCCCCTGGCTCATGCCAGGGTTCCTTTTGTGCTCCGCCAGTATTTGGGGAACATTCAGGGATTGGCCTCTTACTTCTTTCTTTTATCTCTAATGCATAAGGTTTTCCTTCCCTTGAAAGAATGCTTTGGACAGATGATAAAATCAGGACATATAATTGCAGAAATTTGGGATAACCCAAAGACATGCAGAGGTAAAATAAAAGCCATCCGTAACCTGGTGGCCCAGAAATGGTTGGTGTTAATATTTTGTTCTATTTCTCTCTATTGTCTTTCCTGTCATCCTTTTTTTTTGTTTCTTTGCACATGTTAAATATGATAACAACACACGCACACACTTTTATATTATTATGTTCTTTGCCTTGGACCTCATTGTAAGCATTTTCCCATGTTCTCAAAGCAGCATTTTTAATTGTCAAACACTATTCCATTCAGTCATTTGCTGTAATTTGCTTACTACTTTCCGTTACTGAGCCTGTAGGTCATTTTCAGAGTTTTCGTATTATTCATAATGCTGTCGCAGGATTTATAATAGTATAAGATGAAAACAAGGTGAAGCTTTGCCATTGGGTAATGCTCAGGGAGAGGACAGTGTATGTATACGGTGAAACAGTTTCACCATTTCAGAAGCTGGTGATGGCACTGCAGGGAAATGCGTATTATAACACATTGAAGGGAGAATGTGGGGTAAAGAGGAAATCCACACTACGACGTTGCCTTTCTAAAGGAAAACAATATAGAAGAAACCCTCACAGGAAATGGGCCAGAATGGGGACATTGGTTTTCTCCTAGTTGGAATCAGAGGTGGTTTAATTTCCGTTTCTTTAACCTGCTCTGTGGTCTTCATATATTCCCCAGTGGACACATGGTATTTCAGCCACCCGCCCATTGTCGATCTTTAAAAAAGGACGTGGTAAACGTGTTTACACATAAAGCGGGTTCCCACTTAGATTGTGTCCTTAGGATGGGGCTCCCGGGTTACAGTGGCGAGGCCAGGCACTGTCCATCTTTCTGTGTCCTCATCGGTGCCGGGTTTGATCCTTCTGGCATTTCCAGTACTGGATAGGGGCAAAAATGTAGCTTAGTTTAGTTTCAATTAAACTTTTTTTTTCTAAGTTGCTTTTTAAAAAAAAATTGGAAACATACATTGAGAAAACATTTTCTTTAATGAGCAATATAGCCTTTAGGGAGGACTTCTAACTCATAGGGATAGAAACATGAAATAGCTGGATATTTTTCCCTAAGCAAACCTCCTTTATTACAATTCAAATGATTCTGAAGAGAGTACTTGTGCAACCATGACCCAGGTTGAGAAATAGAACATGCCGAGCAGCCAAGAAACCTTTCTTGCACCTCTTCCTGCCTACAGCTGCTGTCCTGACTCAGCGATGACTATCTCTGTTGCTCTTCTGGAAGCTCCTACCTTGTGCAGTCCCTCCTCTGTTATTGTTCTCAAGATTCTCTCGGTCTTTGGCTTTTGACAGTTTGATTAGAGTATGTCTTGGTGTGGATTCCTTTGAGTTGATCCCATTTGGAGTGATTTGACCTTGGATGTGTGGCTTCATGTTATTTATTAACGCGCGGCCAGACAGTTGATGATTCTTTCTTCTCCTTCACTTTCTCTTTGCTCCGGGACTCAGGGTCAGTCAGAGGTGATGACTCAGGGCCCTCTCAGGTCTCCCCTGGGCATCTGCACAGCCTCAGGCATGCACATGGCCTTCACAGTTTCCATGTTGATATCTCATTCCCTCACCTCTCCTCTCATTTTCTGCTTTGCCTGTAGTTTGCCCCAACTCTTCATCCACCACCTCAAGCAGTAGCTACTAAATCATTTGCCTGTAACTGTCCCTGCCTCCCGAGCGTGCCCCCAGGGAGTGGCTTTAGTCTGCGTAGTCCCTGGGCCCTCCCTTTGGAGGGCTGTCTCTCTAGCTAGCCCTCTCCTTGGGCAGCTGGCCCTTTCACCACTCTCGGCTTTGGTACACATGCTTGCCGTGTGTATACTGGGTGCTCAGGAGTCTCTCTTCTTTCTAACTGAACTGCAAGAGTCCTCCATTTTCAGATACATCATAACGTTTATCCTAATCACCACTGTTACCATGACTCTCACCCCCAGTGCATATAATTGCTGTTGATAAAATACTTCCAGTCCACGCTATCATTAATATAACAGTGGTCATTAGTGCGATGTACTGTGTGCCATCTCACCTGTGGTCACAGGACTGACCGGTGGCAAGTTTCACCTTTTAGATAAGCACCCTTTTCATCAAAGGTGTGGGAGCCCTGCCATCCTCACCCCTTCTCCTCTGTGCCTTGTTGGGTGGAGCTGCCTTCCACTCAGAGGGCTCAGTTCTTGTCAGTGTAGTTTGTTTGATAGGAGTTCTCGGGCTGTAGACAGGCCAGAAAAATGGCCTGTGAACTTTCCCTGTTCCCACCTGAAGAATTGAGGACATTGGTCTCCACGACCTCCTCAGGCCCTTCCACTATGGAAGGTCTGCGTGTCTTTGCTACTTCTCCTCTCAGTATAAGAAGCCGGGCCTCCGATCTGGGTGCCAGTGGGCAGGTTATGTTGGTTGCGCGGCCCGTCGTCATTCACCAGTCACCATCTCAGCTGACTGGACCTGAGGCCTCATTTGGTTTCCCAAGCCTCCAGAGACCCCGGTGCCAGGAAGACATCGGTGCTGTTTGAAAACGAAGCAGCCCTTTCAGGGCTGGGGGTGAGGGAGGGGAGTTGACAGCTCCAACAGGGAGAGACGATAACAGATTTCTGGCAGCTAGAAAGTGCATGGGGGCAATGGTGGGTGCAAGGGGTGCAGAAAGCCTTAGCCAAGAGGACAGCCTGAGCAGCAGTGGGGGAGCGTATCTGTCTGCTGGAACTGCGGGACTGTGTGGCCGACAGCCCCCGGGGAGGGCGCAGTGGCAAGTAGGCTGGAAGCAGAGGGCAAAAGCAAAGCAGGTCTTTATAGGTGGGTGCTCCCAATGAGACTCTCGCCTGCTTTTTTTTTTTTTTTTGGTAATGAAAATATTTGAAATGAATGGCCAACTCAGGCTCCTAAGGTGGTGGACAGCAGTCTGAGAGAAACCTACCTGTTTCGGGCCTCTGAGGGGCCATGGTATGAGGGCTGACCCCTGTCTGCTTCTGCTGCCCTGTCCCGACTGAGCTCCTTTGCTGGGAGGGCAGACCCTGGAAGGAACTCCACTAGCACACATTGGGGCCAGCACCATGAAAGAGAGAAGACCTGGAGAAGCAGAGCCAATGGATCATTCAGAGGAATGAACTTTCTAACAAACTTAACATAGAACAGCAGGTCCTTGAATAATGTCCTTTTGCTATAACATTGATGAGATGGTGTTTTATCCAGTACCCGATGGTAAAATGGGTTTCATTATACATTGTTTTTACTTAGAGGCACAGAACCTATTGACAACATGAAGTGAGGACTTAGCGTATCATGCCCAGATGAAAACCAGCATGGAGAAAAACAAGCAAATACTCCTAGAAGTTAAAAAGGCTTGTCAAAGTGTTAAAAAAAAATCAATGCAAAGAGTAAAAAATAAAAGGAGGCAACAAATCTGTAAGAATAGAAAGAAAACAGATGAACACAATGAAGACAAAGATAAACAATGCAGAGGCCCCATGCACGTGGCTACAGGCTCTCCAGAGAAAGAGAGGGAGGAAAATGGAGGGTGGAGGATCAGTGAAGCAACAGATGCACAGAGCTGAGGGGGTGAGTCTACAGATTCTAAGCCCAGGCAGATGGAACCAAAAACACATGTTCCCAGGCCCACCCAGCCTTCTGAAGTCTGGAGTAATAGGGATGCGGGGCTGGGACCCAAAGCTTCCAGAGGGGAAGCCTGTGGCCTCCTGCATAGGCTGATGCCTTTCACATTCAAAGGGCCTGGGGTTTCTGGCCTAGGAATCGAGACCTAGCCAGCCAAGCTTAGCCAAGAGATGGCCAGGTAGGGGACGTGAACTTACGGAGCAGCTGTGTGGGGGCAGCCCCAGGAGAGCAGTGGGCTAGAGGGCTTAGAGGTTGGGAAAACCTGAGGATTCCATGAAGGCAGGTGATACCCAAGGGGAGGCAGGAAAACCCCTTCTGTGGAGAAATGCGATTGCAACAGGAAGGATGACAATCTGACTCCAGTGAGAGTATTGATGGCAAGTGGGGAGGGTCACCGGGACTGGTCTCGGGTGGGTCAGGCTCGGTTCCAGCCCTGCTAGGAGTCTGCCTGCTTCAACATCTCGCTGAGGCCGCTCATCCTGAGGCACAGCCCTTAATTCCTGAACTTCAGAGTCACCCTTGGGATGGGCGGGATGAAATGCCAATAACTACCTTGCCATATGGATGGGCGAGGAGACAGAGAAGCAAGTTGGTGGAGGAAGGAATAGGTATCTGTTTAAGTTAAGGCACCACTGCCAAGGAAACTCCTGTACCCAGGGTGGGGGAGAGAAGTGAGCTCAAGTCCCCACATTCCACACGCAGTGGTCATCATCTGAAGTTGGTACCTCGACAGGCAGGTGCATGTTGTGACAGTGTTCCCTACCCCTGAGAGCAAAACAGCAGGTCACAGCTAAGGCCCTTGTCATTTGATTGGTGTTTGATTAAATCACAGCAACCCCCACCCCTGCCACCTTCCCCCTGAGGGGTAGGCAAGGGCTTCCATCTGTGTGGCGCTCACTACAACACGTGGTTGCTGTCCAGCCTCCAGCCCCCTCAATAGCTCCTGGTTCAGCAGTTTCTGGTTCACTGTGAGAGTCAGCCCCCGCCCACAGCTGTGAACCCCTTGAGGGCCAGGTGCAGGTGTGCAGGATGGGACACATGAGACTCACTTTGTGGTTTGTGTTTTTCTTTGCAGTCACCAAAATGGAAGAACTAACCCAGAAATACAAGCTCTTCAGTGACACTCTGCAGAAAGGCCAGAAGGAGTCTGGGAGCAGGAAGCTGTGCCCTGAACAGCTAGGTGGCCAGGCAGGACCGAGCCATCTGCAGTAGAAGTCGTTACAGGCCCCATGTTTTCCAGGCACAGTCTCCAGATGCCTGAGCCTTCAGCTCCTTGGAGAGAGAAGGAGGAAGGGCAGAGGTTAGGCAGGGTGGTATGAGCTGGAAAAAAAAATAAAACCTCAGATTTGAAAAAGTTGCTCCTAGCCCGCGTTTTGCTTTTATGCCCCTGCATGATATGGCCTCCTTTCTTCTGTTGTCTGGCCCGGGCTGAGTAGTGTGCGGTGCCTGCTGCCCAGCTCCCTGTTTCCCAGCCTGGCTGCCCCGAGTTCTAGACCATACCTGACGTGAGCCTCCTGCTACCCTGGGGGGCCAGGGCCCTGCCCCTCTCGTGGCTCCTCTGCCACAGGCACTAGCACCTCTTGGTGCTTCGTACCTTCCCCAGTGACTGTCCAGTTAAGCTTGGCACTGCCAAGTGCTGGAAGTCTCCACCTTGCCATGACACCTATATGCCTGTGACCAGGGCCTGCTCACTGCCCAGCTGCAGGCACCCCCGTGACCAGTCTCAGGGTCCCATGTAAGGCCTCCTCACAGTCCCTCAGCCCCATCCCTTGCACTCACTACATCTGGGATCCAGCAGGCAGGGTCCATGTTTCCTCTACCCTCCTCCCTGGAGCACTTGGTACCAGCCAGGGAAATTCTTGCTGGTGACCTGACTGGTTGTCCAGGAAGCTGCTCTCTAGGCTTCTCAGGGTGACCCAGAATCTTCCTGAGCAGTGTGCCTGTCACAGCCACCTCCCTCCCTTCTAACACGGGAACAGGTACAATTGGTGGAGACCCTGCCTCCTCAGCCCAGTGTCAGGCCTGAGGGGGACCTCCCTTCAAGCGCTTGGCCTGCTGGGGAGGCCCACCCTGGTTGCCAGCCTTAACTTGCACCCGCTCTCTGCTCTGCTCCCTGCAGCTGTACCTTTGATTCCCCGTCTCCTGTGGAGGATGCCGGGCGCTGGGTACCAGGCCTCCTCCTGCTCAAGATGCCTCCACCTGGAGCCCCTGGCCCTGGTTGCCTGCCTGGGGTAACCCCCTGATGGCTATCATGGGAGATGGGAAGACAGGCAGGCCCATGGTCACCATTGCCCAGATGTGCCAACAACTTTACAGGCCAAGTGCTGGCACATCTGGCTCTGGAATGAGGTTCTCAGGTGATGCCGCCTGCTTCCTGGACCAGGGATCGCCTTGCTTCCCTCCTGTCTTGACCGTGTCCTTCCCCCTTGACTGAACATAGTAGGCTGGGAAGGCCCTGGAGCCCAGGGTCTGAGGGGCTGGCTTCATCCCTGCTGCCATGGTCCCGAGGCTGTGGGTGCCACTGAGGCAGTCCCCTGCCCCTGATGCTTACATCGCTCATTCTTCAGAGGGGAAGGATAGGTTTGGCCAAAGCCCAGTCTTTCTTCCTCCTAACCTGGAAGCCTCTGCTATCAGCTAAAGGCTCCTTAGATACTATGTGTCATTGTATCCACGAGGCAGATACCATTTGCCCTTCCTGGCTGCAAGGTGGGCGAGCTGCTGCCAGTCACTGCAGTGCCACTGACACCCCACCCTTAGAATGCATCCTTCCCCTTCATGCGTGAGCGTGGTGGGTGCAAGTGCTTCCTTCCCACTCCAAAATCACTTTGTCCTGAAGAGAGGCAGCTTGGGCCCCTGTGACAGAAAGGAAACTGCGCTCCAGAGAAGGGCCATCTTGCCTTTGTGAGAGGTGCCCCAGTATGGGGCTGGGCATCAAACCCAGGTCAGCCAGGTCTAGCTGCTGTTGCCCAGCCAGCTCAGACTTGGAGACAGGGCCGGGTGGAAGGCTCGGGCTTCCTCCTTGTGCATGTGATGACGCATCCTCAGCTCATGGTTGTCGGCTAGTCGAGCTCCTGGGAGGCTGCTTTCCGATCTGTAAACATGGGGCGTGTGTCCTGGTGGCTGTGAGTGAGTGAAGGGGGGGCGTTTAGCCGGCCACACAGGTCCTGCAGCCTTAGGCCTCTTGTTGCCCAACAGGCAGTTGGGGGCGGGCCACAGCTGCTGATTAAAAGCCACTGATTAAAGGCTGCCCGGAGCAGCCTATGCAGAGACAAGTGCCCAGCAGCCCAGGAAGCCAGCCAGCGTCTGCCCCAGGTAAGCCGGTGTGTCTGGGTTGGCGAGCACAGCCACTGAGAGCCTGGAGGCAGGTAGAGGCCAGCTTGGGACCAGCACCCGAGCACCAGGGAGGCTGGGGAATGACTGTAAGGCTTTTTCAGGTGCCTGCTCCTGGCAGCTGATCCTAGGGGTGCAGACCTGGGCTGCTATGCCTGAGGCTCCTAGGCTCCTGGCCACAGTGTCTCGGTGAAGATACCATCCTGGGCTGTACCTCCCCATGTCCCCGATGACATGGACCTGAAGGCAGGAGGCAGAGGCCTCTGGGCAGGGCTCTGGGCACACACCAGGCCTTTCTTCTGGTGTTTACTAGATGGTACTGGGAATGGCCAAGGAGAGACTAGGGGCCAGAATGGAGGGGTGATGAGACTCTAGGCAAGCCTCATCCTAGACATAAGTAGCAGAGCCTGGTCACTGGGCCCTAGCTCTGGTGGCCCCTTAGTAGTCTCCCTAAATGTGGGTCTTAGAAATTGCTCCTAGAATGTCAAGTTCCATCATGGGGGAACCTTTCCCGTCCCTCAGGTTTTGTGCTTCTTGTTCTGGCAGCTTTAGGTGTCACTGTCCCTGTGTGAATATCACCATGTCTACAGTCACCCGGGCCGAGACCTTTGTCTTCCTGGACCTGGAAGCCACTGGGCTCCCCAATGTAAACCCCGAGATTGCCGAGCTCTCCCTGTTTGCCGTCCACCGCTCCTCTCTGGAGAACCCAGAACGCGATGAGGTTGGCACCCCTGTGCTGCCCCGGGTCCTGGACAAGCTCACGCTGTGCATGTGCCCAGAGCGCCCCTTCACCTCTAAGGCCAGTGAGATCACTGGCCTGAGCATCGAGGGCCTGGCACAGTGCCGGAAGGCTGGTTTCAATGAAGCCGTGGTGCGGACATTGCAGGCCTTTCTGAGCCGCCAGGAGGGCCCCATCTGCCTTGTGGCCCACAACGGCTTTGATTATGACTTCCCCCTGCTGTGCACGGAGCTGCAGCGCCTAGGTGCCCACCTACCCCCGAATACCACCTGCCTGGATACATTGCCAGCACTGCGGGGCCTGGACCATGCCCACAACCACAGCACCCGGGCCCAGGCTTGCAAGGGTTACAGCCTGGGCAGCCTCTTTCGTCGCTACTTCCAGGCCGAGCCTAGCGCAGCCCACTCAGCTGAGGGTGATGTGCACACTCTGCTTATGGTCTTTCTGCACCGTGCTGCTGAGCTGCTTGCCTGGGCTGACAAGCAGGCCCGGAGCTGGGCCCACATCAAGCCCATGTACGCACCGCCTGATGATCTGAGACTCGGGGTCTGAGCGCCAGTGGCTTGGTGACATTGCTGCCCAGGGGGACAAGGCCTACCTCCTGTGTCACAAGCAGTACCAGCCTTGACCTTTCAGCTGGACTCTAAGCTCTGGAGCGCGCACCAGACCAGTACTTCGCTGCCTTGCCCCCATCCTCTTAGCCAGGCATCCTCTCAAGCACGCACTTGCCTGGCCTACCTAGTCCCACAGCCTTACCTTTCACCCACTGGAGTTTGCTGTTTCAAGCTCCCACCTTTCACTCTGTCACAATAAACGTTGCCAACTGTTCACCAGCTGACTTTCTGGTCACACACCCCAATGCACTGCCTAGAGACACAGGCAGTGATTCCATCAGAGCAGCCCCCTACAGTGAGCCCAGGGGTGGGGGAATAGGTGGGGAAGAAAGACATCGGTACTCACAGGCTGTGGACCGAGAGTCGCAGGCCTCCTGCCTTTGCTTCAATTATCACCCCTTCCTTGCACTGTTATCTTAGACCCAAGAAATGAGCGAACAGAGCCTTAGGAACATCTGCTGTGGCCCCGAATCTGTGCCCTGTGGAGAGGTGGAAGAAGGGTTGCTGCCCCAGCCTCCAAGGAGCTCCAGCTTCCTCAGCCCCGAGAGCTGAGCTGACGGGTGCAAAGCCCAGCTCCAGCACTTGCCCCCTGCAGGACCCTGAGCCATCTCCTTCTTCCGGAGCCTCTGTGGCTGCAACAGGATGAAATAATATGATTGGTTGGCAGAGCAACACAGTGCCTGGCGCAATCGGGGAGTAAGGGAGGTGCCCCAGCCACACACAGGGACATACATGCAAAGGGCCCACTGGAGTGGGTAGGGTGAGGGGTATGATGGAGGATCCAAGCTGTGCCCAGAAGCATGCCCAGCTGCATGGCTGACTTGAGGCATATGGAAGAGGTGCGGTAGCTGGTGCAGTGAGGGCGACAGCTAGGAAGGAGTCCATCCTGGGCCCATGTCCCTCATGGCATGGCCTGAAGGAGGGCCAGGAGGCTGCTCTGTGGGGAGGGCACTTCTTGGCAGCTGCTTCAGCTGGGCTTCTTGGGGAGCCAGCTAACCTGCTTCTGGGGCACCCCCCTTGTGTCACCAAACAATGGGGCAAGCAGGGGAAGGATGTCTGAGAGACGGGGAGAGCAGGAGAGAAGGGGTGTGATGACCACACCTGAGAATGACTTGCAGGAGCAAAGCCTCGAGTCTTGATCCAGCTGGGCCCGTTTGGAGAACCCTAAGTAGGTCAAAGTGACTAGAGCCACTACAATGTGCAAGGTGGCAGAATTGTGAGACCAGATCACAGGTAGTGGCCATGTCAGGTCATCCTCATTTCCTAAGCCAGAGATTCTGGAATGACACTGAGGGTAATGGGGAGCAACACAAGGGGTTGTAAACAGAAGAGGGGCAAGATTTAGTTTCTGTTTTACAATACCTCTCAGGTTGCTATGTGGAAAAGACACTAAAGCAGACTCAGAGGCAGGGGGAAAGCAACAGGGAGGAAGGTGTAAAAGGGGTCAGGGGCCTGGTCGAAGACATAATGGAAGGGGGGTTGGGGAGGGTGCGAGATAAGGGAAAAGCCAGCAGGGACTACTTTGGGAGTGTGTTCCGTGCACTGCTGAGCTTCCTGAGGACGGATAGCTGGCTCCCTGCCCCAGGAGAGCACCCACCCGGGAGAGTGTCACAAGGCCGGGACAGGGTGGGGCCTGAGGTCAAGAGCCTGCACCAGGCAAGAGCTGACAGAATTGGGGCACCACGAGAATATAGGCAGCAGGGCTGAGTCCCCTTTGTCAGGCTGGCCAGGCTCCAGGCCACAGACTCACTGAGTAGGTGATGCCAAGAGAGTCCCCTCTCACTTGGCAGGCAAACCAGAGGGGCTGGACTCCAGGCCCTGGTGAGCAGGTCAGCACCCCAATTTGTGACCACTGCTACCATCCCAGAGTGGTGTCCAGTTTGGTCTACTCTCATCTCTTGCAGACCCAGGTCCCTCTCCCTCCCTTACCACTCTGGGTTCTCCTGACCTCACAGTGGCCTAGTCTTGGGTGCTCTCCCCGAGCCCATGCTTAAACTGTCCAGGCCAAGCTTCTTGCCTTCTGTGCTACACAGACAGGCTGGGGCCTGCCCTACTGCTTCCTGAAAGCAGTGATGTGCTGACACATGGGTGACAGCAGCTTTCCAGGAAAGTAAGTGTAAACCACGCTCTCTCTGTCTCTGTCTCTCTGTGTAGGTAGATAGATATGTGTATATGAAGATATACACACAAACATGTAAGTTTATTGTAAATGGTAGTGATAGAAAGGATGTAAGCCCACAATTTACAAATACTGAAATCTCCAATATATACCAAATACGTGATCACGTATACAATACACTATGTATACCTTTCATGTGGCCAGTTGATTCTCACAAAACCCCTTTATTGACTTTTTTTTTTTTGCCAAACTCTTGTAGCTGTACCAGACCCATGGTTGCAACTGACGAAAGAGCATGGCTCCCACATTACTGTTGGTTGATATTTTTGTTTGTCTGAATGAGTAAGACAAAAGTGAATCAACAAAGACATATGTCAGAGCTTCACATGTTCATTGGTGATATGAGTGACTCCTTTGCTGAATTGGGTAATACTTTTTGATTCTGGAAAAGCCTCTCTTTCTTTGTTTCTTTTTTCTTTTCGCTATTCACAGTGGAATGACTACAGACTCAAGTGTGCGTAATCCACCAAACAATAATAGATGAAGCTTTGGTTTGCAGTGTGCGATGATTCTCATGGAGTAAATACTTCACCAGGCCAATTTCAGGCTATACGATATCAGTGAATGTGAAGTTGGGAAGAGATTCCCAGGAGCACACTGGAACACGGATTCCCACCAAATAGATGCAATAGGTAACAGTAAAATGTGATGAAGACGAGGGTTTTGAGTATCTTCTTTATTTTTATTATAATTGAAGGGGAAGTTTATAATTTAATTTTTAATAATGGCGGTATTTAACTCAGTACTCAAAATTCCTGAAAATTTAACATCTATTAGCATGGTGAAAAAAAAAAAAAGAACCTGACCATACAAAGTGGTTGTGGAGATGTGGGGAAACTGGGACTTTCAAACACAGCTGGGGGGAATGTAAGTTGGTATTGTAACCGAATGCAGGTCCAGCTGCCTGCTGCTGCGAAAGCCAATACTCCAGAGGCAGGTGCTGATGTAAAGGGAAGTGGTTTATTTTCAGGTGCCGGCCACCTGGAAGACGGGGAACCCACATCTCAAAGCCCATCTCCTGGAAGATGTGGGACTCAGGTCACAAACACCATCTCCGCATTCCAGTTGAGGCAGAGATTTTCAAATGGAGGGAGAGGGGAAGATAACAAAGAGATCAAGGGAGAGGGTCGTAAAGTTCTCTGCGTGCAGATGAGCACAGTCCATTCTGATAAGGCCAGTGATGGTCCGACGTGCGTCATCCTGGTTCAGATAGCCCGGCTTTCCCTCATCCTGGCTTCCTGTCATCCCGGATCCACAGCTGGAGGTCAGCAAATCCCCTCCAGCTGGGATGCCTTGAGGTCAGCATTTGTATCTTTTGAAGTTAATTCCTAGGATTCTTATAGAAACATGTTGTTGATCTGTAAGCTACATATCGGTCAGAGTCAGCATTTAGATAAATAATGTCAAAAGAATGGTGGGGTGGGTTACAATTTCCTTCTGTTACAGTTTTCCACTGTTATATCTCCTTTCTCATGTATGTGTTTCATTCGTCTTTTCAAGGAAAAAACCCAAGATTTTGATTTCTGCTTTTATTTTCTGCTTCGTTAAGTTCAGCTTTTATCTTTATTAATTCCATTTATTTTCTTTTGGTTTAGTTTTTTGTTCTTTTTTAAAATTTCTTAAGAGGAAGTCTAACCTCCTTTGTCACCTTCCATCTTGAATAACTCAGATGCTCAAAGCCTGCAGTCTCCCCCTGAATGACAGTTTCCTGCGTCCCATGGTTTTGCTAGTTAACATTCCTCTTTGCTTTGTATTGGGGAAGGTTCCTAATTTTGCTCTTCATTTCTTCACCAATCTAGTGCTTGCCTAGTACAGTTTATCTAAGTCATTAAGACTTTGTGGTCATCTTTTATCATGTATTTCTAATTGTACTGGATAATGACCTGAAGATGTATTGCTTAAGGTTGTTTGAGGGCTGTACAACTTTTCTAGGGGACACAATTTTATAACATTACATTAAAACAGCCCATTAAAATTTCATTTTATTGATATCTTTCTCCCATTCAGTAGTTTTTTTTCTATGCAGTTAACTGATGTGTGTTCATGTTTATAGCTTTATGACTGGATCAGGTAGGGTTCTCCGGAGAAACAGAACCAGTAGGATGCATATATAAGGAATTGACTTATATGTGCACCCTACTGGTTGCATCCACATGGTTGTGGGGGCTGGCGAGTCCAAAATCTGCAAGATGGTCCAGAGGGCTGGGGACTTAGGGAATGGTTGCACTGAAATTGTTTTCAAACTTCAGTTTATTTTTATTTTTTGTTGAATTTATTGGTGTGGCATTGGTTAGTAAAATTACATAGGTTTCAGGCATACAATTCCATAACACATCATCTGTAGATTGTATTGTATGTTCACCACCCCAAGTCAAGTCCCCTTCCATCACCATTTATCCCCCCTATATACCTTCTTCTACCTGCCCTCCTTTCCCTCTGGTTATCACTATACAAGGGTTGCATTTTTGAGTGCAAAGTCCATCTGGAGGCAGAATTCCTTCCCCTTTGGATGAATATCAGTGTTTTTCTCATGAGACATTTAGCAAATTGGATACAGCCCACCCACATACGGTGGGTGATCTGCTTTACTCAAAGTCTACTGATTTCAGCGTGAAGTCATCTACAAAATCCCTTCACAGCAACATCTAGACTGATTTCTGACCAAAAACTGGGCACTCTAGATTAGCCAAGCCAAGGTGCTGTGGACAATGAAGCAGCACAAAAACTGTCATGTGGTCTTTCTTTTCTAGGCTTTATCTCTTTGCCTATCATCCATCCATGAAGCCTGGATCCTCGCCCTAGGCCCCAGATCCACAGTCTCTCACTGAGGTCCCCTCTTCCCTAGACCCTGCCCACCCAGAGTCCTCTCCACAAATGTGGAAATGAAAGCAAACAGCTTTGCTGCTGAATAAACATTCAACAGAACTGCCGCCATGCCCACGTCAGGCGGTCCATCAAGGAGACCACAAATCCAGAAGGAAACCCCGGCCCT